CCACACCCACCCCATGGCGCTCGCCCTTGTTCTCCGTCACCAGGATGATGGCATCCGCCAGCGTGGTGGGCTGTGCCTCCACCTGCTCCACCATCACCAGGCGGGAGCTGTAGATGGCCAGGATATAGCTGGAATAATCGGCAGCTGGTCGGCTGCTGGTGGGACTGGCAGCTGCAGAGACACACAGACAAAGTGGGGATCAGCGAGACTGTCACTGAGCCCACAGCCCCCGGGAGCAGGGTGCTGCTGGGATGCTGCACGTGCAGGCAACCTCCACCCCCAGAGCAAGGTCCCCACGGTGAAGATCAAGGGCTTTGCCACCTCTGCCTCCCCCAAAGTCTCCGCTGGGAGGGCAGCCCAGCCCCTTACCCTGGGTTGTGGAGGGGCCTGCCGGGGCGGTGCTCCAGTGGTTGAAGGCACAGCACACCACGGCGTACTCGCCCGGCTCCAGCATGACATCGCAGTTGACAAACTTCTTGACAGCTCGTTTGCTGTGAGCCATCAGCCGGCCCAGGCTCAGCTTGTTCCCGCTGGTGAAGGTGGCCCGGAAAACCATGATGCACAGATCCAGCAAGTGGCTGTCCACTGTGTCCGACCGCCTGCGCCAGGAGGGGAAGAAGGGCGACATGTCACCTGAGTGCCGCCTCGCACAGCATGTGGAGGCCACGGGCAGGACGGCAGATCCAGAGGAAAAGTCCTCCTGCTGCCCCAAGCATCCAGCTCCAGGAGCCAGCATGCACTCGGGGCTTGGGTTTCGGCTAAAACACGAGCAGACCCTGAGAATTGGAGAAAAGGTGATGGTGGCCCATGCCCGAGCTCTCCGACCCCGTGGGACGGCACAGGGCGAGAGGGCGATGCCTTTGGGATTTCTCCCGGGTCCAGGTCCCTGCCTGCAGCCCGTGCGCTGCCCAGCTCACCTGCTGCCCTCCTGGAAGAGGGCGAACTCCAGGGCAGCACGCTCCAACACCGTCAGCGATGTCACTGTCACCGGCCCGTTGGCCTTGTTGGGGAACATGCCCTGCACACGCACCTCGTGCCAGTCTGAATGGAGCTTGCAGATATCCACAGAGTCAAAGTACCTGTGGGGAAGGTGAGCTCAGCCCTGGCGGGGTCCTCTGCGGGCACACTGCTCTGCCCGCCACGCCCCAGCACGCTGCAGCTCAGGCAGCTGGGAGCAGCAGGTACCAGCAGGTCACCCACACCCTGCACTGGGGATGCCCAGTCCTGTCTTGACCCCCGTGCCCCGTTTTCTGTCCCCTGCCTGGCCTCCTGGGCACTACCGTACTTAATGAAATCGCTGTACTCCATCCAGAAGACGCCCTCGCTGCTGCCGTGGGGCATCAGGTCATGACGCAAGGGAGCCGGCCAGTGCGGCCACTCATCGGACCAGCTGCCGTTCCAGGAGAAGCGGCCCCAGGGGTTTCGGAGCCGCAGTAACCTGGGGGAAAGAGAAAAACCAGTGTCAGAGGCGCAGGAGGAAGAAGAGTGCAAGGAAGATCACCTCCAAGATGCTCTCCCAGCTCTGCGGACCGAGGCAGCCCCCCTGCAGAGGGCACCACATCACTTCTGCCCCTGCCTTTCGAAGCCCTCACAGCATCCTAGACCTAATTTGTCACCCCCACCGTGGCCCCAGATGCCCTCGTCCTGCAGCTCTAGACCTGCTGCAGTTGCCCCTGCCCCAAGGGCCTCCAGCCAGGCACTGCAGGGAAGGGGCTCGGCAGGGAAGAGACTGCCGAGTGTGACATGGCTGAAAATGGGGCTTCAGGCAGCACCCAGGCTGTCAGAGGCAGGACCTGTTTCTATCCCCCCACCCTCCAAAGGCGAGAAGGGTGCCCTGACTGCCTCATTGAGTCGAAAGAGCTCAACTCAATCCTCTGTGTCTTGTGAAACCAGGTGAACGATTCTGCACCATGGGGCGTCCTGGAGCAGAGCGGCCCTGGACATGGAGCCAGTGCCGGGCAAGGACAGCTTACGTGACAACAGCACTTAGTGATACCCTATGATGGAGAAACAGCCCTTGCTGGCCATGAAGATGGGACACTGAAGAGTCCCAAAGGTCTTGTCTAGCATGCACTCAATTATCTGTCCCCAGGGTTTCTGCTCAGGCTGCTGGCACGTACCACGGCAGCCTCCACCCCGAACTCACCTGAAGCCTTGGACATCCCGCACGTCCAGGATGGAGTAGGCGTGCCGTGGACGCAGACCCATACTCTCGTAGGCCACGTCGTCCACTTTCATGTTGCCTCCGCCACAGGATGCGCCCATGAGGAACCTGCCCAGGGGACAGCAAAACCCTCGTTGTCCTGCCAGACCTGG